GGGGGGAGGGGGGTGGGGGGTGTGTGCTGTGGATGACTTGTTTAGCAGACTTGTCCAGATCTAAACTGAAGTTTTAGTTTCAATAATATAACAACTTGAATACAAAAGCAGTATAAAGCCTGCTCTGGCTACTTTGGCAGCGTGGGCCTGTTCCCGACAGTCTGCAGCTATAATGTTAACTGCGAAACAAATCGATTGCAGATGTTCAACAGCCATTGTGAAACGTCTTTAACATTTTCCCACTCTTTCAACCCCCAAAGCCTAAACGTGTTTTTGAATGTCAAGGAATTGCGGTGAATATTTTGATTTTTGCGTGTACAATTGGAGCACTTGTCTACAGCTCTCTGGTTCAACACTTTTATTTTTACTATTTTGTTAAAATAGACCTGTGACATGGTGATAATCAAAGCGTCTTAATCGGCTTACGTTTGAATCCTGGGGAAGCTGTTCTTTCGTATACTTCACTGCTCTAAGTACTTTTTGTACTTTTGAACTTTAGTCTTCCATCTTTCTGCTTTATGGATATTAATGGAAACAGATTAAAAACATGAAGGTGGCATTAAATTGCCAGAGACAAATTCCATTGTTTCCCAGTCAAGCAGCTTGCTTTACATATCAGTCTGCTAAACTGGGAAGCCCTTTTCCCGATTCTCCAAGTATGGGATGAGCAGCAGTGTAGCTAAATGCTTATATGTGCAACTGGAGGATTGTGAAGGATTTACTGTTTGGTTGTTTTCTCTTCCTAGAGCTGAGCATTAGCAGGTATAGTTGGTCAAACTGCGTAAAGGTGCAAGTTTGCACTCGAGCGAGTGTACTGCATTAGTGTGTTGATCAGCTGCTGTACGTGCCTCTCTCATCACTGGGGGTCTGAACAGTGTCATCTTGCTCATCCCCCTTGTTTCATCTTTAGTGGCCTTTTCCCTCTTAGAAAATGTAAAATCATTCTTCTGCTTGTTTAGGTTGCCATCGGTGCTACTGCATACATCCCTTCATTTTTTTTCCAGTCACTTTAAATAAATGGGGATGTGTCCCCCTTTCTTGCCTGTATACTTAATACAGGGTGAGCGAGGCTCATGACTTCAGGTTTGCATGCATTGCGTTCGTGCATGTCTTACTTGAGCCAAAGCTTTACGCTGAAGGGCGAGGTTTTTATTTAATTCTCCTGCAGTTACCATTGATAAGACCGGTAGATGTCTCGACTGGCCGAAAATGTGTGTGTGGGGAAAAACTTGTGATCCAGTAGCTGAGTGCTGGCTTGGAATTTGGCAAAGCCACTTGTTTTCCTAGTTCTGCCACCAACACTTTGAGTAATCTTGCATATATTATTTCATACTTGGCTTGTATCTCCACCTACTTTCTTTGTTCCTCTTTTTTATATTATTCAAAATATGTGCAGTAGTGATTATACAATGCCCAACGTAGCACGGTCCAAGCCTCAGCAGTGTTCTGTATTTTTATGTAGTTTATTCTAAAGTAAGGTTGGATGAAACAACTTTTGGAGCTCAAAATTAGAACCAAGGACAAAGCGCAAAGTTGTTTTAGAAAACCCGACACTTTAAAAAAAAATTAGAACAGGTGAGAACCAAACCCACATGTGGACAGAAGGAAGTGCCAGGTATGATGTCCATCTCCAGTTATCTCTTCCAGTATTTCATTGCTCGTGTATTGAATTCTTACTTGGTGGCTTTCCTAAGGGATCTACGTATGGTTTTTTGCTATATGCTATTACCTAATGCAGATACACAGAATGAGTGGTTTTGAGGTCCTAGGACATGGCAAATGAGTCACGGGTTTCTGGTCCCGTGCTCTAATGTATTGCATTCATCTTTTCTGCAGTTATTCATAACAGGAAGAGCTGAAATTCTATGGCTGGAATTATCAAAGGATTAAGCATGTAACTCTTTAATTTCAGTAGGATTGGGGATTCTAGTGTCTGTTAGGAAATAGCTAAAGAATTTCAAATTTGGTCCCTTTACGGTAGGCTGCTATCTAAACAACAGACTAGGTTTTTTTCCTTTTATTTTATTACTAATGTGCTCCACCATGTTAAAAGTTGGAGCCTCTGCATAGCTTTAGGGACTGGGGATTTTGCGAGTCATATGGAAAAGCTCTGCACCCTGACCTCAGCGCTCTAGGCAGGTAAATGGCACTGAATTTGCACATAATATCAAACCATTCTGGGAATATTGCCACAGTAAAAAAGACAGCAAGTCTGCTGGCTTAAAAGCAAGGTTTTTTTACTCTGACTCGGTTAGAATTAACGCTGTGTAATTTTTGTAGCTCCGTGGTACTTTCGAATGCATTTCAGAGGTTCTTTTCGTTTCCATTGTCTTTTAGGGTGCCATTAGAAAGAGATAATTCAGAGGAGTTTTTAAAACGGGAAGCCAGAGCAACTCAATTAGCAGAGGAAATTGAATCAAGTGCCCAATACAAAGCTCGGGTTGCCTTGGAAAATGATGAAAGAACAGAAGAAGAAAAATACACTGCTGTTCAGAGAAATGCTAATGAACGAGAAGGACATGGTGTGAACACTAGGTACTTGCATACACTGTGAATGGTATTTTTATTTAAATGATGCGCGTATTTTGGTACAGTAGTAATTTACTCATTGAAACGGTGCTTTTTCAGCAGGGCTGATTAGGTTAGGAACCCTGTGTTAAACAATCATGTGCTGGTTTTGGCACTTGTGTGAAGTTGTACACCTCTGCCTGGCCCTGTATTATCGCTGTAGTGAAACGGGCTCCCCCATTCTGATATGTCACTGTGGTGAGTTCCCACCAGATTACAGGAAAGCACAGTGGTTTCGGTATGTCATGGAGAATTTCAGGCATTAGTACTAAACCATTTAGTATCTGTGGGCTCATAGAAAGTGGCCTGTGTGGTCAGTATCAAAAGCCAATTCATGAGGTCAACGTTAGGTCAACATCTGATAGTATTTAGAATTTTCTTTAGCTTAATTTGAGAAAGAAAATATCAACAGGGCCCTTGATCGGGGACTTTTCATTGCCTTTCGGTTCTGTCTTAACACTGATAGAAATTTGCTGTGTTTCAGAGAAAATAAGTACATTCCACCTGGACAGAGGAATAGAGATGTCCTGTCCTGGGGAAGTGGAAGACAAAACTCACCAAGGATGGGCCAGTCTGGATCAGGCCCACCGATTTCAAGGTCTGGATCCCATACTTCAGAATTCAGTCCTAACTCCGGAGCAGATCAAAGAGTAGTTAACGGAGGCAAGTATCCGAAGTCTAAACAAACGTGCCTTATCAAATTTCAGCCAATTATCTGATTAGGTTGAAACTGCATATGGTGTGGTCTTATGATCTGTATTTCATCCGCTAGGTTAGCATTCGTCATTTAACACAGAGGTGGTGATTTTGATTTGGGTTTAATTTACTCGCGATGGCACACGTGTTTGACTGCTCTGTCTGTAGCTTTGCGGAGCAGAAATGCCGCTTGTTTTCCCTCTCAAACACCTTTGTCTTAGATGATGGTGCAGGATGCGGTTTTTAAAGGTGAAAAATTGCTTTACGTATTGCTGCTGCGAAGCTCTGCGTGGAGGAGTAGCAATGCTGACACCTAGTGAAAGGGAGGTGGCAGCCAAGGAAGCATCACTCATCCTTCCTGGTGCAGGGGTCAGGAGGGATCTTTTTCCCATTAAAAAGAATAAAGCAGCTCGCTGACTTTACGATGATGGCAGGGGGGAAAGGATCATTGTTGGGAAAGCAAGAGAAGCGTTAGGGGGAAAGGAATCAAAAACCTTCTCTCCAAATAGCTGTTTGAGTATTTGCTGCTATACACGTGGGTGATACTTGTAAACAGACATCACTAGGCACTGTATAGCAGGTTTCATAAACCAAACACCATTTTTTGAGATGGATTTCAGCAGTAGGCTATCCTTGAGGCATTATTTTTATAAGTTAAAAATGCTATTATATGAGATTGCTGTGAATAAATGAAAAATGTATAATACTCAAGTGCCTCTATCTGGAGAGGAAGTCTGAGAAACATCTAAAGGTAAGTGAGACTTCCTTTTTAACTACAGAGTCAGCTGTATAAAGGATGTACAACCGAGTCTTGCCCAAACAATGCTAACCTTGAAATTTGTTTGTAGTTTTTGTGGTTTGTGTCATCCTATTAGTCTGCTGAATGAGCATCATATACCTAAAATATTCAGAATGGCTTGTGAGTTCAGTTCCTTTGTTTTGGAAACAACAAACCCTGTATCCTAGGTTAAAATACTACGTTAATACTTCAGATAACTGATAAAGGCATAAATGTCAGGATTCAGACACTGAACACCGCTGTTTTTTGTAAAGATACAGTTCCTAGAATTGATATTGCTCATCATTTGGTTTGCAAGTAGCAGTTTGTGTAGTCAATACTATATGTGAACCGCTGTTTGAGAACCTCTGGTAGCTATTTAAGGACCTTGTTAAGAGTGATGCGTGCTGTAGAACAGATATATGATAGGCTAACAGATCAAACTTTACTGTCTATTCCTTAGTAGTATTTGTAGATCCTAATTAACCCTTTGGGGAGTTTGTGACATTCAGATGTTAAATTTGACCTGAAGTGGAGGAAATAACCTTGCAGAGACTATTTCGTTGGTTGCAGGAACAAACTAATCTATCCCCAAAGGGTTAAACATGAAAAATCATTTTGTCATATTTTACTTTTTTTTTCTGTTGACCTTTTTCCCCATAATTTTTCTTTAGTTTTTATACTTTCCTTCATATCATTTGTTCTGTCAGGTGTTCCCTGGCCATCGCCTTGCCCATCTCCTTCCTCTCGCCCACCTTCTCGCTACCAGTCAGGTCCCAACTCTCTTCCACCTCGGGCAGCCACCCCTACACGGCCGCCCTCCAGGCCCCCCTCGCGGCCCTCCAGGCCCCCGTCTCACCCCTCTGCTCATGGTTCTCCAGCTCCTGTCTCTACTATGCCTAAACGCATGTCTTCAGAAGGTACAATACCACGATTTGTTCATGTTTTTGTTTGTCTTTGTTTAACTCCTTTGTGAGTTTAATTACAAAATTGTTTTTCCTCTTCATTACTTAACCTATAATTTGTGTTTAACTTTAGTTTATCAGACTATTTCTATTAACCTTTTTATTTGAAGAACTTTACAAAAACAAAATAAAGCTGTGAAATTTCCCAAGTTGGTATGAAATCAACTCAGCTTTGTAAACGCTGCTCAGTGTCTTAACCAACAGCAAGATGCAGGACCTGATAACTTTAGAGGGCATTTTTAGGAATATAAATTTATACAAAATACCAAACGTTTCAGTGTAGGTGTTCCACAAAAAGCAGTTTCAAATCTAAGCCATTGAATTGCCTCTTGTAAAAAAACCCAACAGCCATAATAGTAAGAATGCTGTGTTCGGAGAAGTGCCCTGTGGGATGGGACAGGTTCAGCTACTTCAAAGGCAAATCTGTAGAAAACTGTAGATCGGTTTGCGTTGAGGCAGAGCAGTGAGTCAGCTCCCTGGCAGTCAATAATGTGCAGAGAAAGGCGAACCCCTGAGTCTTCGGTAACTGTCTGCAGCAGTATCTGAACTAAATTGGTTTGTCCTCTGAGGGTACAGTAAGAAACACATCTTAAAATTTTTATTTTATTTTATTTTATCTAAGTGCACTTAGAAACTAGCCTTCACAGCACAGTCTAGCAAGCCTGGAAAAATGCAAACTGGTTATACTAAACTCACTGGAAACTTGCAGTCTCTGCTATTAGCTGGCTCCACTGGAGCCATGGGAGAGAGAACAGTCGCCCTGCTAATGCAGTCAGCAGCACTGTTCTGCAGCTTGCCTGATAAATGCTCAAGGTGGTCCGTAACCAGAAAGTGGATGGGTGCAGGCACGTCTGTCTGGCATGCCACTGTCAGTTTATCTACGTGAGCTTTTTTTATGTGGGAAGATGCTGAGAATCCACGTGCAAATTTGGTCATTTTTTAGCACTTGTGATTGATTTGTCAGGCATGCAGTGAACTGCTGCTTACTGCAACATTTAATTTCTACTACTAGAAGAGGATTGCTGGGAAGTGTGTGTTCTTTCAAATACTTGCCTGTATATAATTTGGATTGAAGTGTACTTTAGATTCATGGTTAAAATAAAGGCTGGCATTTAAAGATTTATGTAACCAGAAGAGGTACTTGATATTTGAGAACTTTAGCTGAAACCAGAAAGCCATTATCTGAACTTTGCTCTATTATTGACCTACATTAAAAATGATCTGTAATCAGCCAGATTGTCTGCTGTTCATAGAGAGTTTTTTCCTCTTGAAGCATCAACCTTTGAGTCTGATCTTGTAAAGAAAATGTTTGTTAGGATGTAGAAACTGTATTGCTGCTTAGACTTGAGCATAACTATTCTGTGGCAGCTGCATAAGCTGTTCAGAATTACTGTATTCGCTTATGACTTTAGCTTCTGGCGTTAAACATGCATGACTTGAACCTTGGGATAACAATAACTTGTTTAGTTGCAGTTTTGCTGACTTGTAAATGAATTGTGACCTGCTGCAGGCAATTTAGCCTCGGTGCAGAATGCTCTGCTGAAATTCCCCAAGAGCATTGGTCAGCCAGTGGTGACTACTCTGTAAATAAATGTTTGGTATCACTGACCACCTGACAAAAGCGATGGAAATTTTTTCTTTTCTGGAAAATGTTTGATAGCCTGGAACTGTGCTTATCCAGAGGGAGCTGGGCCACTAACCTTTTTGGCTTGTCTTGTAGTAAGCAATATTGGATACTGGGATTCAAATATTTTAAATCCAGGACTGGCATACCTGTTTCGATTCTGATGAAGCTTTTAAATATCAATGAACGTGAGCTGTCATAGCAAGGTGATGAGAGTGCTGGTAGTCTGGCTGGACCAATGGCTTGGCCTTTTTAGTCTCGTGGATCCCTGGTTCTAGTCGATGTCAGTGTAAATTACTTGACTGTTTTACTGCATTATTGAGAGTTATTAGATTAAATCCAGTTTTAAAACCAGACAGTATGTTTGGGTACTCTTAGTGATGGACGTTAAGTACTTATTGTGTGGGGTTGTGTTCTTTTTCTCAGGGCCTCCACGGATGTCTCCTAAGGCACAACGGCACCCTCGAGGTCACAGAGTCTCTACTGGTAGGGGTACAATTTCAAGTGGCTTAGAATTTGTATCTCATAATGCACCAGGGGAAGCATCTACTACTGCAGTGGCACGAGGCAGCCCTTCAGGTGGGACGTGGTCATCAGTTGTCAGTGGGGGTAGGTAAAGCTTGGCTTATTGCAGATGGCTTGCCAGGGGTACTTTAGAGTGTGAATGCTAAGCAGAATACTGCGTTTCTAGACAATGCAGGCTCTGAATAAACACTGGTCTTGCTTAGATGAAGTGGAAGAAGGATGTTCCCAGATAGCTTAGCAAAACGGTTGGTGAGTCGGTCCTTCAAGCGCAACATTGTCCTAACTGCAGAGAGGTTGTTAGATGCTGTATGAAGAGAAAGGAAGGAAAAATGTGGGAATTAGTTGTTGAAAGAAGTAATTTTCTGGAAAGTTGTTGAGGGAGACAAGAGAAGTTAAATGTTTCCATTGCGTCACCAAACTTGGTTAATGGCAGTGTAACTGGGTTGTGGTTTACAAATGAAGGAGGTGTTTGGCTAGAGGAAGGTTGGTGTTGAAAGAGAAGATGACATGATATTCGAGTTAAGTTGGATATATTTTTCCTTTAAAAATTATGCAGGTTTTAAGTGGTCATTTTGTGTTTGCCTGAGCACTGTAGTAGCAGATACAGTCAGTGTCTCTTTCTTTTTTTTCAGTGTCAACATCTTTTTTTAGTGTTTGACTTCAAATTTAAAGCTCAGTCTTGTGACGCAGGCCCTAGTCTTGAGCTTTTGTAGTTGAGGCCACGTTCTAGTGAGTTGTCAGCAGCTTGGCGCTTTCTTGAATCGAGGGGCAAGTGAGCAACAGCTTGAAGTCTGATACCTTTTAGCAGTGGTAGAATTCTAGAGGAGTGCAGTGGGAATGCATTTTTCAGAAAGAACGTATGAATTAGACCCCCTGTAGACCTGTTGCCTGGTGGAAAAGATTAAAACTCTTCTGGCATTATCTCTGATTCATCTTCCTTCCCCACCCCCACTTTATATATTGTTATATGCATGTAGGACTGTTAAATGACTTACCTCTCTTTCTCCTCGCTCATTTGAAGTTAAATACGTGACGTAAAGCAACTCACTAGCCACAGTGGGATGAGCAGGAAGCAGGAGGTGCAACTTCTCATTTAAAGAATGTACAACTTTCCTTGCTACTTTAACACAGGGGCAAAAATATACATCAAATAATCTTCTTTCAATAGGATATGTTGTTTTTTTTCCAGCTGGCAAACCTCCAAAAGAGGACGCTGTAAAATGGATGTGTTTTTTCAGCCCTTTTAAAAATGTTTTACGTCTTTCTGTATGGAGACCTGACCACCTTTTCTGTTCTGCCTGAAACTGTGTTAATGTGAGCTGTTGTAGTTGTACTGCTTGGGGGGCTGGAGAGCGTATTGCAGTTTCTTGGTGGGACTACAGGGCAGTGATATGTATATTAGGGGACAGGCTGCAGAAAAATCGCACCACTTATCTGAAATGCTGCGTTGTAAAGAACTAGGAGATGTACCTGAAAGGTAAACAGGTTTTCAATTCCTATATAATGTTCTACTAAGTATTTTAAAGCATGTTTTTAGTCATTTTAAAAGTAAGCAAACTGCTGAGCAGATGAGGAGACTTATCCTATAACTGTTTTTTCCTGTTTGTTTCTAGTTCCGAGATTATCCCCTAAAACACACAGGCCTAGGTCCCCAAGGCAGAGCAGCACTCCCACAGGACCAGCTCTGCCTTCTCCTCAGCCTGGTACTATTCCCACTGAATCTGTTGCCATGCCTGTTCCAGCTGCCTCTCCTACACCTGCCAGCCCTGCATCCAACAGAGCAGTCACCCCTTCCAGCGAAGGTGAGTTCCCCTCCCTAGCTGGCTGGTGCTCCCTTTCCCTGATCCCTGACAGCGACTGTGCCCGGTCAGGAGCAAAGCTGCTTTCTAAATGATGGGATGTTACTGCAGAGTGGGCTTCCCTTTTCTCATGGTGCTAGCTTTAAACTGAGGTTGGAGAGAGGCTTCTTGATTAGTCTGTATAATGAATTTCTTCTGGGCTTTAAGGAGTATGGGCTTAGAGGTATTGGACTTCATTGAGGATTTTTTTTTAATTTTTGTTTCAAACTGAGTTCCTGGCTGTTTTTTAATTTGAAGAAACCCAGGCCACTAGTTTCACAAAATATTTTGAGCGCAGCAAAAGGAAGGGGGGAAAAACATTCAAGAGCACAGTCAAATGTCTAAGAACTCTCAAATCTTTGTAGCATTCTGTGTGAAGAGCTTGGACTATTGAAAATAATTTGCTCTCTGTTTATAGGATTTTTTTCAGCTAGTTAAGGTTCTGTGTATGGTGAGAGGCATGTTGGATTGGGACTTTTTCATTTGGCTTAAAGATGGTAGGGTGGGGAAGCAGGGAAGATAACCCTCCAGGCCTAACTAGGTAGCAGAAAATATGATGTAACTTTGGATTTTTCTTTGGTAAGCTAAGCAGTTAAATCTCTCTTCTGTCTTGCCATCTCTCTTTGCTCAGTTTGAGTTGTGTGTAAGAAAATAACTTGGGCAATTTCTTTTCTAGCTAAAGATACTAGGCTTCAGGACCAGAGGCAAAATTCTGCAACTGGAAACAAGGAGAATATAAAGCCAAGTGAGACTTCTCCTAGTTTTCCTAAACCTGAAAACAAAGGTTTGTATCAAAAACTTTCATATACTCTTGAGTAATGTAGCAATTCCAAGCACAAAATCTGCTATATCGACGGCTTTAGTTAGCAGTTCAAGGAAGACTTGGAGGCAATCTGACTGGGGTGTTCTACAGCCCAAAGGCGGTCATGCAGTTGTGAAGTGGCAAGGCTACAATCTTAAATCATTTCATCAACGCCAAATGGGGAGATGCTCATGTGGATGGTGTGATTTCTTTTTACTTTTTACACCCCCCCCTTTTTTTTTCTTTTCCTGCTCACAAAGCTGGTTTTTAGCTCTCTGGACTGAATGAGTGTTTCTACTTAGAGCTAAGCTCACAATGCCTCTGAGCATCGTGGTCAGCATAGTTTTTTATAACTGTACTTCTTCCTATTATGCCTTCAACTTGGCTTTCTCTGCAGCATTGCTTGTACATTCAGTTCTCAAAAAAATCTCTTCATTTTTTTGAACTTGATCAGCATTTCACCTTTTAATTGCTATGTCTTGAAATGCTGGCGTGTTATGTTTTGAGAGTCTTAGTGGGTGCGTTTTTGTGTTGAGCTGAGTTCTGCAGTCCCTGCACTTCAGGGCTTCTCTGTTGGTGTGATGTGTTGGAACTATAGATACGTCAGTTACGTAATGCCTTGGTTTCCCAGAGTATTTTTGTGTGCTCATACCCATAGTTCGTGGAATTGTACCTAATTACAGTCAAAATGATATCACTGTGTTTCATTTTTGGATATGTAAACATTACCTTTTGGCAAATTTAGAACTGTAAGGTTTGTATATAAAACTTGTATTAGGAATGCTTGGACAATGTTGGTCTTATGTTTGGCAGGTGTATCTCCAATTGTTTCAGAACATAGAAAACAGATTGATGATTTAAAGAAATTTAAGAATGACTTTAGGGTAAGTTTCTCTGTCTGTTAACTTAATGGTATTGTAGTTCTCACGTGCATCCAAAATATTTTAATGCCTTGAATGCATTGCATGTGTTAACAGGAAAACAAGTCCTCACTACTTGTGCTTAATTTATGAAAATATCTATAAGAATTCATGTAGATGTTACAGAATCAATGCTGACTCTTGCTAGTTCGGCTGCCTAACACATGTGACTGTGGATATTGACTGTACACTGAAAATAGTACTTGAAACCTGTTTGATTGTTAGGAACAAGTAATTATCACATTTATGCTCTGTATGGAAGAGCTGTTCAAAGTTAAATAAAGGGTTTTGCTGAGGAAAATTGAAGAATTCATATTACTTATTTCCTGGTTAGAGTGGTTTGTTAAATCAGGTTAGCTTTTCAAGTGTTACTGTTAAATCACACAGGGGGATGAGTCCAGAGGGTTCTTACGCTTTCCTGTCACTTCCTAATCGACATATAGGTCAGTTGAGTTGCTGAACAGCTTCTTTCACAATGTAGGCTTAAAACATTGTCAATGTCATAGATTTCTTTTCTAGTAGAAATGGAAATGTATGTTTTAAAAGGTCATTTCCAGATGATTGAGGCCTATGGGACTGTATTTTACTCTGTGTATGTGATAGCATTAGATTGTCTCTCCCTAGTTCTGTGTATCAATTTACTGAATATATTTCTTGGGGTTGTTTTTTTTTTTTTCAGTTACAGTCGAGTTCCTCTTCAGATGCAGTGGATCAGCTGCTAAACAAAACCCGAGAAGGTGAAAAATCAAGAGATGTAGTTAAAGAAAAGACAGAATCAACCCCTAAAGAATCTATCATAGAAACTGGCAGTAATACTAACTCTAATGGTGGCAGTAGCAAACCTAATAGTCCAAGTATTTCTCCTTCAATAAGTAATAGTTCTGAGCAAAAGCGAGGGCCTGAGGTAACTTCACAAGGTGTACAGACATCTGGGCCTGGAAGTAAACAAGATAAAGAGGATAAAGAAGAGAAGAAGGATACTTCCGAGTGAGTAATTCTGCCTTTTAGAATAAGCACGTCTGTCATGAGCATTTAGCTGTTTGTAGGAAAAGCTGTTACGAGTATGTAATACCTTTCTGTTTGTGTGGGTGATGGACGTGCTCTGTGTTACACAGAGAGGACAGCAGGTGAAGTGACGGCTGAAAGTTGTCTCATGGCAGAGCTGCCTGTAGAGCTCCGGTCCTGTTGATGCCTAATTGATACCTAAATGCTTATTTAAATGTTTTCCTGGCTCATTTGAGCTGTAGTGTCAACAGCAGGAGAACTTTTTTTTTTTTTATGGATAAGTATAGTAAGAGTGCTATCAGTAAGAGTGGATGTTTACATGCCGTGTGTTGCTTGAGTTCTCAAAAATCTGACTCACAGATGGAAATGAGGTATTTAATCTCTTTAAATTTTTAATTGTTAGGGAGTTCTGCAGGTATGCTTGTAAAAGAATAACACTGAACATAATTTTTTTGCTGTGTTTTTATGCTTAGGCAAGTTAGAAAATCAACACTTAATCCCAATGCAAAAGAGTTCAACCCTCGATCTTTTGCTCAAGTAAGTTTTTTGATACTGTTTAACATTGCCTTTGAGTAGATCTTTATAAGCAAACCTTTTACTTGGAGGATATTCAAGCTAATCTTGCCTATGCATTGCTGAATTCTGTTTGTAGCCAAAACCTTCTACTACACCAACCTCCCCTCGTCCGCAAGCTCAGCCTAGCCCCTCCATGGTGGGTCATCAGCAGCCAACCCCAGTGTACACTCAGCCTGTTTGTTTTGCACCAAATATGATGTACCCGGTTCCAGTGAGTCCAGGCGTGCAGGTAAAGTACAGCCTGTGCTGCAAACTTGTTAACCCTTGTCAGATGGCTGTCAGCAGGGTGAGGGGACTTAGGAGATCCAAGTTAAAACAATGAGGTGACACAGCTTGTATTACTGATGTAAATATGGGCACACTTACATTGTTGTTAAATTTTAGCTAGGTAAATACTGACTTTTCCCAGTGGTCCCTCAACCTAGATGTTCTAATAGTCTCAAACACTTGTAAATTCCAGCAGTTCTTACTCACGTTGATTGTAATCTGTGCAGGCTTCACCCCAGTCCTCCAAGCATAGTCTCACTCTTTTTAAGTTTTAAGCAGCTGTTGCTTTCTCCTTCGCTTCCAGCTGTGTCCCACTAGTTTCTGGTCATTGTAGGAATTACTAGGATTTCAAATCTAGCTCTGTTATACAGCTGTCTGATGTAGTACATCGCTTGAAGCAGCAGTAGTAGCATTACTTGAGTGGTCGTTGGAAACCATGTGGTCTTAGTTGTTTGTGCATGTAGACTGAAACACAGTGATCCAGGAAAATATCATAGGTTAGGCAGAGTTCGCTAAAGTGTGTAATACAACAGAGCAAACCACGTCAGAGCTGAGTGGGGCCCCCACCCCGATGCACCCTCACTGTTTAAAGGAATATCATAGCTTCAACTCCTCCTTCTGTTTCAGCCTTTGTATCCTATTCCCATGACGCCCATGCCAGTGAACCAAGCCAAGACATATAGAGCAGGTAAAGGTGAGAATAATACTGCCTGTTTGGTTCTTAGTCTGCATGCAGCATGAATAAATTGCCAATGTTTGTGTATTTTCTAATCCATGTTAATTGGTTATCGATTGAGATTTTGAATGCTATTTTTAATAAAGGGAAGTAAGTGGAAATACTAATGCGTTTCTAGATAAACTAATTTCAGCCAAAACATGAGAGGTTTGTGTAATGGGGAGTTGCTTGGTTTGGAATCTGATTTGACAAATGGGAAAATGTCGCTGTTACTTGGAACGTTAGGGTAAGCTGATAATCTCCTCGATTTCTTAAATGTTACGGGTTTGTTTGAAGGGAACTTTCTGCACTGGTTTACAGCAAAGCCCTGAATGGTGCTTTAATAGAGGTTTGAGTGTGGGGTTTTTTTGTCAACAAGCAAAATCACTTATTTTTTCGGAAGGACTGCTGCTCTGCTGGAAAGGACTTAGTGCTGGTTCCAGTTTGTTCTTTTGCATTCCTTCTGCAACAGTAACTGAACAGCTGGACTAACACCACCACGTTTTTAACAAGTGACACCTGTGGCTGTGGAGAGGAGAACATGCGTGGCGAGATGCGCTCTGTTCTGTGCAGTGCAGCGAAGGAGCAGAAAAATGATGGTCTTGTTTTTATAGTCATGTTTCAGATAACGCTCTTAATTCTACACAGTGCGTGCTTTCTTGCAGTGTGACACAGTGGTTCCTGATGGTAGGTTCCAGTGCTACAGCTCCAGTCACTGGAGGAGGAAATTGTTTAAAAGAGCAGTTCTGCTGTTTAGAAATAAACAAGTAGCCTTTGTGAATGCAGGGAAGACAAAAACCTGCACAATGTATTTCTATTTTAAAACACACTAACTTGACTGTGGCTTGACCCGTGAAGTCTTTGGGTTGGTAAAGCTGAGCGTTTCAATCAGAAGGACGTTGCTGTGTGCTCACTGGCTGTGTGAGGCCGCTCTCCTCTTCTGAATTCCTTGTTCACGTTCCGTTATTTTCTGCATATCCATCTGTGTGCAGCGTAGTCCTGAAGGAGCTGCGTGGGTTAAAGTTCAGTGCCTTTACGCTGTTCAAGTTGTGTCCTGTATTTACTTTTCTCTATTGTTGATTTGCAGTGTAAATACATTCATCATTGGGTGAATTTACTGACATCTTCAACATTTCCCTCCTTTCCTCTCTCTAAGGGGTCTGTCTACATTGCACACTGCAGTGGAGTTTACAGGTGCTTGAGTTAGCATAGTTATTAGTTGCAGTCTCACTGCAGCAAGCTGGAGCTCACCTTGAACTCTCATGCCCTGTTGCTTAGTAGGCTGAATTAGTTTGTTCTGAGTGCCTTGCTGCTGTGGTTCGGTCGGTCGTCTTATGGATAGCTCAGGTAGTCCCACACTACAGTGCTCTGCTCTCTTAATCTTTCTTCCCTCTAATTGTTCCCACTCCTCTTCGTCTTATAGGTTGACTTGTCCCCTTCAGTGTTGTCTGTGACCTAAAAGGTGCTTTCTGCTATCCTGAGGGGTAGCACAGAGCTTAAAAGATGAGAATGCCTCAAATTGCGGCTCGTGGAGACCTTTATTCTGCTCTCCTCAGCCATAAGCACAAGTAATTTTAACAGACTCAGCTTTCCAGTTGATGGAACAGTTGCTGAGTCGTTCCCATAGAGGGTGAATTAAGCCTTTTGAAGGGGACAGGTACAAATTTGATTAATGTAGGTATCCTGATATAACCTTTCTCTTCTGTTAATGATTCTTGCCAGTCTTTCTCTCCCTCCACCTTACTTCCTTCCTTCAGAAAAAAAGCAGGCCTGGGTTTGTGGCTGTATGCATGGCTCAAAGGCAGTGATGAAAATCAAATGTTTCTTGGAGGAACTCCTTTTCACGCTGTTCCTTTTTGATAGAGCTCTAATATGTGCTTAAAGGTGAGGGGTGAGGGTATTCCACTTGGTCACAGTGACATTGTAATGTAAAACCTCTCAGGAAGGTCATCATTCTTCGTCCTCTGTTTCTAATGTGAGGCACTCTTTGCTTTGTAGTACCAAATATGCCACAGCAACGGCAAGACCAACATCATCAGAGCACCATGATGCATCCTGCCTCAGCAGCAGGCCCTCCAATTGTAGCTACGCCACCTGCTTACTCAACACAATATGTTGCGTATAGTCCCCAACAGTTTCCTAATCAGCCTCTTGTGCAGCATGTGCCACACTACCAGTCTCAGGTAAGAGTCCTTTTAGTGTACGTGGTAAGTCAAAGCAGAAATAATTAAGTGGCTCAGTCCTAAATACCCAGTTGTCTCCAGCCGTAAGAAGTGACTCTGAACAGTTTCTGGAGTGTACTTGGTGGGTGTAATGTGCTTCGAAGTCTGTAACAAATTTTGAGGTCAGTTTAGAAGTTGGCATTTATTATTGGCATTACCTTTTTAGCTCTTTGAAGAATTCCTTTCGGGTCATGGCCAGGACATCTCCTAGTTATGTGTTCTAAAAATAAACGATTTTTTGTACTGTTCTTACTTCAAAGGCTTTTAAATATACATAGGCAATTGGATAAATACATAATTACGTACGTAAGCTTACCACATTATTAGAGTGGCAAAAATTAGATACGCCAATGGTTTTTGCCAGTCTCTAGCCCACTGCAGAAAATGTCCTTAAATTTTTAGAAACGATTGGGATAATTGTGACAGTGTGAAATCTTTAGTTTGCTCTGCATTTTAGTGAGGCCAAGCTATTACTGTTTCTAAGTACATAATTATTGTGTAGATGACACTAGTTTCTTCGTAATGGTCCCCCAATTAACTGTGTGTTTTCTTCTTTCTGTTGAATGCAGCATCCTCATGTATATAGCCCTGTAATACAGGGCAACGCTAGAATGATGGCACCACCTACACACGCACAGCCTGGTTTAGTATCTTCTTCTGCAACACAGTATGGTGCGCATGAACAGACGCATGCTATGTATGGTAGGAAACGTTTTGTGTTATATGTAACTTTTTAAGTTCTTATGTGGTGCAGGGATGTATTTAATCTCAAGCTTCACACATGGGTATCATTCAGATTACACCAGTAGATGTGGTTTATATTTTGTAAGATGATGAGCAGAGCATTGAAAACTGAGCCACCTGGTTAAAATGAAAACGCAAGTATGCTGATTTCAGTAGGATGCCAGTGACCAAGATGAAATTTCAACCTGGGAGCTGCTAAAGAATATCTGCTGAAAGAAGTTTGTTCAAGTTCTCTTGATGCTCTTGACACAACATCCCTTGATTGTTTCTTGATTATAATTAGGACTTGTTTTATTGCAAGGCTATGGCCTCAGTTTCAAAACTTGACTTTAGTTCTGACAACTAGTGAAATGCTGTCTTTATGATACTACTAGCATTATTAACAGTATGAACACTGCTGTTTAAGCAAAATAAAACATGTGTTGCTTACCTTTCTTTTTTGGTAAGTCAAGAATAAGTATATGAAACAGCTCATGTATTGCTCTGACTTTGACAATTAGTCTCCAGCATTATCAGATGAGCCTATTTCACTTACAGTGAAGTGCTGAAAATGTGGGTTACCTTGTTACAAAGTAAAATGTGAAAGAACTTCTAAAGCATTATAAATGTATGATATATCAATGCCCAATTCAGAGGAAAAAAACTCACTGCAAAACATGCTATTGAAAGAGCTAGAATCAAGGTTGCTAGAAGGCTTGGAAATTGTCATAAAATGTCAAAACAGCAGATGGTCTCTTGAAAACGTGGCATTTCAATACTTGTTATAGCATCTGAGGAAGACTTTTATTGGGTCACGTATATTATTGACTTAGATTCTAATAAAAGATTTTCTGTACCTTTAGACATCTTTGTATGTTTTCCGGTGCTTAGTTTTACACTGCTACTTAATGGAAGTCCATAATGTGTCATGAAAACTTACAAGGCTAAGAAACTGAAGTTTAGTGTGAAGTTAACTCTGATTTCAAAAAGTCTATGTCTTGCCCATCTGAATACATCCTGTCAGATCTCTGCAGTGGTATGGTAACATAGCTAAGAAACAAAAATAAGAGAGAGAAACCTTTTTTGACACTTGGAGGAGGAATATTTCAGCTCATTTGTGCTGAAGCTGAAATGAAAGTTACTTGTAGAGATTAAGTCTTTCTCTCACAGGTCCTTGCTAATTGTATTACTTTGATCTTTTCAACTCTTGTGCTTGAGGTGTCCGTGTAAACAGATCTTCTGTTTGCTTTTTCATTAGATTAAATAGAATTCCAATGAAGTGAATGATCAAAGGCTTTCAGACCTTTATTGGTGAAAACTCTCCTCTCAAATCCTAATTAAAATAAAACCAAACATGAGATAATCTGAGATTTGATTCAAAATGGTTGCATGTGACTTCCTAGCAATTTCCCATTGTGCACCATCCTTATCTTCTGTAACCAGTGGGTTCTTCAGCATTGAAGTACAAGCCTGTTCCCTTGGTTGGCTTTGATCAGATGTCTGTGTAGTTTTTTTCACTGATACTCTAACTTAACAACTGTCAGATCTCATTTTGTGTTGGTTTTGCAGCTTGTCTGTTGTAGGTATGTGACTACCTACCAGTGCAAACAACTGAGTTGGGTCAAACTTGCAAATTCTTTGGTATTTCCTGCCGTGTAATTAAATATTACTTTTCCAAGGGGACCTAATTTAACAGAAACTGCATGTCCTCCTGTCTTCTTTCAAGTAGCTACTTGGTGACTCTTCTAAATATTCTCCCGCCTTCCCAGTAAATGATCAAGTGCTTGATATTCTTGTTACTGAAACCATTCAACCCAGCTGGATCATGAACTCCATATGAGACACTTTTTTTAAAGACTGTATTCTTGCCACGTGCAGACATGTTTATTGCCTAGTGAACACAATTTGGCTCAAATATACCCCCGTAACTTACAAAGTTTACAGTTAGCTACATGTGAAATGACTTCTGATGTAGCGCAGCACTGTCTCAATTCAGATTGTTGCAAGTCTTCCATGTGCCGAGCGCTTGAAGACCTTGCCTAGACGGATGGTGTTTCCTCAAAATGTGTCCATCTGTAACGTATTCACTCCAGCTTCCACTTACCGATACGTGAACACTTGGGAAAAATGTAGAAGTGCCTCAGGTGATAAATATAAGCTGCTTACGGAGTACATTGCTAAAGAACAACGTGCTGGAATCATTCACATCTGCCTGACTGACTATGAGAAAGTGTCCGTAACTTATGTTCTGTATTTTGGGAATCTTAAGTTTACCCACAGTTATCTTTGAACTAAATACGCCGATGTGCCAAAGCACAAAACTAGTTTGAAAGTACAGAATAACAACTTCCTGAGAAACAACAGCCGCTGCTGCTTTTGATTTCTGGAGCACTTGCTCAAACAAGTTCTCAGAGTTCCTTTTGGCTCTTTAAAATTGTGATCTGATTTTTAAAATAAATACATTATTATTAATTTTTAATTTATTTTTTTTTCCCCTGTTGATACCAGGATTCAGTGGGCTATACTGCCCTTTTATCCTTCAAGGTACTAGTGCTTTCTTTGAGATAATTCTTGCAAAATTCACTCAGTTTTTTTCCTGCATGTGTGGTAGAGAGAAGATGTCTGCAAGGACAACCACATTGAGACGTGGGGGTTGGGGGGCACTGCTTATGAAGTGTTCTTAAGGTGTGAAATGTTTTCTGGTGAGATCTGAAACTCCATCTTCACTAATGGTTTGGGACAAGTTGAAAGTCTGTAGCAAGTAGTAACTGCCTGCCAGCGAAGAAAAATGCCTGTTGATCCATTAAGTGAACTTCCCTCACTGCCGAAAGTTTGGGTTTTGTTTTCCTTCCTGTCTCGTGAAGAGCTAGCTGAATCCAAAATACATACAGTGACCTACACTTGTTGATAAGCACTCTTCCAGTTTAAAGAAAAGTATTTAAAGAAAAGTATTTCTGTCTAATGCTGTTTAATGGGATATTTCTGCACTTCTGGGATTTCCTTGCCAGTCGTTACAGTGTCCTGCTTCTGTGTCACAACCTGCTGTTGACAAGAGCTCGAGAGGAGCAGAGCAGCTGAGCTGTGTGGTCACCAGTAGACCCATCTAAACATATGACGGAGGAGTGTTAAAATCATTGGGTTTTTCCCCTCAAAACACAATTGGGAAGGACAATGTTCAAGCAACTGTCTGTCTTCCCGTCTACCAGCCAGACGATAGAAGCGTCTATTGCACCCTTCAGCTCTGGAGACGTGAGCCACTGAGCTGTCCTTGCCGAGGGGCGTTTGAGACGCAGGCGCTGCCGAAGCAGAGCAGTGCCGCACCTCTGACCGCCACCCGCACGCACCTGCCCGCGGAGCTGGCGCTCTTACCCCGCACGCTGGTTGCAGAGCATGCCGGCTGTCTGGGAAGCGTTGGCTCGGTGTCATCTCCCCGCTACCGATGTCGTTGGGCTGGTGGAGTTTGCTGGCCGTGGGTTGCAGTTGGAACGGCTTGGGCTGTGTCGCACAAAGGCCCAAACTGGTCTTGTGCTGCTAGCAGAAAATTTGGTTATCCGAGTAGGGGGTGGATATATTCATTCCTGTGACAATGAACTTGGGCTAGTGTTACCGTCTAGCTGAAGTGCCTGTGTTTTCAGGTAACTGGAGTCCTCTGAAAAACTAAACTTCTGTGTTTAAAAACAAACTTGCGTAAAACCAGACCTTGGTTTTGTACAGATGCATTTCCTGTTTTTTGTGCTCTCATTCCTGTCCCCGTTCTCCCTTCCCCTTTCCCCTTCTGCATATGTTTTACTGGTCTGGTGTTGTCTCTAACTTTATCTGGTTTCTGTCTCAGCAGTAGAGTAAATTCTATTTCCCTGATAGTACAATGGTGGATATAATATAAACTTCAGAGGATTCTCCAGGGACTGAGAGTGAACCAGTCACCAAAGGTGTCTTGGAACTGTTAAGAATGACAGTGATAGAGCTGAAAAAGCAAGGGGCCAATTTCTGGTTTAGTGTAATTACATTTTAACCTTCTTATTACAGTGGACTGTAATAGACCATTAATTGACATAAAGTTTATTTTCATGTTAATTAAGAACTGAAGTCCTCAGTGTCACGGTTAAGAAGGAAAGCTTACTTGAAGCTTGTGTTGTTTCATCTCCACTCATTTGTAAAACTAGATATCCAGCTCGAATAGCACCTAAGTAAATAAAAATATCTGCATGGTTCTACAATCTTGAAAAAAAGAAAAAATTTAAAAAAAAAATATAAAAAATGACACTGACCTTTCCAGAAGACGGGAAGTATGCACGTGGCAAGAGGCTAATTTACCTTTCTATTTCCCAAATTCAGCATGTCCCAAAATACCATACAGCAAGGAGACAGGCCCTTCTTTCTACTTTGCCAGTGAGTTGGGTTTTTTGTACTAATTTTGATTGTACAGAAAAGCACTTTCTAAAGAACAGATGTTAAAGGAATGGGACGTGTTGAGGGAACAAGTTTCCTTGCACCAAACCAGTATGTGGAAAACGCAGGACGGTTCCTTTCAATGGACTGGGGGGGATGAAGCTCTTGAACAGATTTATGTGACCACAGGAAGCCGATTCCTTTTTAAAATATATTTTGCATGTCGAATAATGTCTGACTTTACTATCCAGTCTTTTCATCTGCAACCAGGAGTGAGCGCTGCAGAGTGGATAGCCTCTGCTTAAAACCTGGGTGAACTGCCTCGCGCCCGTTCTTTCGTGGCCTAAACGGGATTTTTAAAACTTGGCAAGTTAATTGGCTTCCTGAAAGGAGGAGTATCTTGTGCCTCATCTCTTTAAAAGTCGATGGCTCGAGTTCTGAGCCCCTGGGAGGAAATAACTGGAGTTGCAGCTGAGGTGAAGGAAGCTTTCTGTCGAGTTACTGCGGTGCCGCTGAAGGAGCGCTGCGCACAGCGCACAGCGTACCTTGTCGTTACTACAACAGGAGTGACTAGATGGGGGCTCCTTGCCAGTGCGTAGCATGGGACGCTTCCTCCTTGGCAGCTGAACGTTACCAGTTACGTTACCCAGCTCCGGTGCTCCTGTATGGTGTTGCTGGTGACCTACTTCAGCGTAATCAGGGGGAGAGGGGCTGGTGTTCTCCATGCTCCCAGTACACAACAGCTAATACAGACTTAAGTTGCACATGTGTACTGGGAAAGGCAGGTAACTAAAAAATACTGCCTTGCATGTTGGCGTTCATCATAGCACTCTGAGGAAGCTGGTTTTTGGGGCGTGGGGTTGCAGGATGAACTGTAGCTGTCACCCAAGACACGGGAGAGGAGGACTTGCCGTTTCAGGATGTTTTCGTACTTGTTCCTGTCCTGCAGTGAGACTTGTTGCTGTGACTGTCTGCAAGTCCACGCAGCCTGTGCCAGGCACTCTTCTGGGGTTTTTTGAGTTAGCTCATGCAAGAGGGATGTGAGAAATACCACTCGTTCTCCAAAAATCTCTTCTGGAACAAACTTCCTGTGCTCCTTGTACAGAAATGGTTCTGCGTGAACCAGCGTTGTAGGGTGCTGACCTGTCCTGTTTTCATGCGTCTTGGTTTGGTGCACTGAAATAACTTTTAATAAGCTCGTTCCTTTCATGGATAATCTTTTAAGTGAAGTCCACTCTACCTGTGTAAAATGACTTCTTTAAATGTTTGTATTATGAAAGAAACATTTGCTATTTCTTTGCTTCCTACCATTCAGGTCTTTTAAATGTAGTTATCCTCACCATCTTACTGGGTCTGGCAATAGTTTTGAAGTTTGTTCACTGGTCAGTTCTTGAAAATAGGCTCTTCAGTGCCTCTTTGGATGATGACCAACGATGACCACCATTGGCAGCATTGAAATTCCTACCAGGGAAAATAGGAAATTCCATTATACGGTTTTTGCATATACCGTTGTAGCTGGGAGTTCTGCTTGGTTTCTGCTGCTCTCACCTCTTTTGATTTCAGCTCCTTCTCTGGGTTTGATGGCTGACTACCGCTTGTTTGCCTCTCAGAAAAATGGGTTGCACTTTTGTAGAGTTGAATTCAGTAATTCAATCCATCTGAATACTTTTGCTCACTTCATCACTTATCTTCAGTGTATGTCCCTGCAAGGTTAGTGCAGCTAAATATTTCATGTTAGGAACCGACTGGATCAAAAAGATGCTGAAGGGAAGCAGGTTAGCCCAGGGAGTGTTGCTGGGGGAGAGAAACTTAAGGCCTAAAGGGTGAGAAAAAGTGTGTTTGTGCTGGAGTGAGCTGAGGCTACTTGCAGCAAGATACGCAGAGCTGTTTTGTCTGGATACTAGGTAGCCATTTGGAAAATCTCCGGAGTACTGACGATTGGGGAAAAATGTTGAATAATTGGTGATTATTTTCTTTTTTTCTTTTTTCCTCCTGTCCTACCTCGCTTGCTGTTTGGTAGGTGTAGCGAGCTGTTTTGATGAACAGGCAAAGATTCTTGAAAAAAAGTCACAGTGAAAGTGCTTTAGTTATGGCTAAGCGGGGGAATTTCTCATGACTCTTCTGCCAGACTTTCACGGGCTTGCTGGTCTCATAGATTTCATTGGCTTGTCACGAACTATTAACTGCACTAGCTAAACATGGAGAACCTTTTACATTTCTAGAGTTGAAGTTTGAACTCTGGTTTTGAACTAATAAAAGGTCTGTGCACGTATTTCAGACTTGCTGCCACTTGCCTTGAACCGTTCTTGATTTGTATGCGGTGTCTGTACAGGATTTAGATAAGTGTCCAAATAACATTTTTGAAAGGCGATTTTAATATTACTATTAAAACATAATTTGCAGCAGCATCTGAACTAGTTTTAATCAAGCTTGTAGAGAGCGGTAGAGTAATTTGTTAAAGACAAAATGGGGGAGAGGAGAAGCTAGGCAAATAAAAATTCTTTGGTATAAAAAACCTGGTACTTTAAATTCAAAGCTATGGATAAAAGATATTAAAAGGTTACGGAAGAGCTGCTACTATGTCAAAAACTTGATCCTCCCCCTGCTTCTCTATCTGTTCTTTGGGGTACTGTTCCTCGGTTTAACTGGTTTCTTAAGAGAAATTCTTCATTGTGAGGTTTTATTGTATAATGTATCTGGTTCAGAATAACTCAGTTTATTATTCTCTTGGCTATAAAGCAATGAAAGATGAATTGCACAAATGGTTTGAGGGAATACCACATTATTTTGGGGGTTCTTAACAAGTAATGTGGCAGGATGTGGGAAGCCTTGAATATCTTATGGCTTGGAATTAATTTTGATGTACATTTTAAAACCTCTTGAATGGAGTTGAAGTTCAGTTGTAGTCAGGCGTGCCAGCTCTGTGGCTGAGGCAGTGGGATGAGAGCTGAGGAAGATTTCTGGTAGGATGCCCTTTGGCAAGCAAGTCGATCCCTCTGTGCATTTATTTCTCTTACTTTGACAGAGATGATAACTTCTGGCCTTCTTCAGAGTGTGAATAATAATGAGGTTGAGAAATTTTCCTACTGTAGGAGGCTGTAAACTTCATACTGTAAAAATAATCAGTGTTTCCATTGATAATTTTCACATAGTCCTTGTAAGGAGTGATGTTTGAAAGTCAAACAGAGGCGTGGTGGGGATGCTGCTGCAAAATAAATTTTAGTAGTGATATGAAAACAAAAAAGACTATTCTTGCATTTGAAAGTGTAACAAAGTGCTATGGCAGAAAATACTGGTATTTTGCCAGTGCACGTAGAAAATACTGAGGTTTTTTCAAAACCCCTTTCAATCAGAAATGCTCATAGCGTATGAGTGTGCGTGTACACTGGTGCTTCAGTACCCTTACGTGCTCGTGCATAAGTATGGTAGGATCAACTCAGACTGTGAGGATTTAGGGTTACAAATGTACGTGAAGTTAATCTGCATTAACAGCCTCAAACTGTAGTGCACGTCACTGTTAGACCATTTGCTCAGTGAAGATTTCATAGAGCTTTCAAGACAGCAGGGTGGGATTAAGTTAAACGCGGTAGGCAGTTACTTTCTAAAGGAGAGACCTTCATAGCGGCCTGTCCAGGGGAGAAAAATCTCAATTAGGCAAAAAGATGCTGTCTGTATGTATTCTAGTGAGTTTGAATTTGTTAGAACTAGTACTTATAAGCTTTACAGCAAGCCAAACTGGAGGAAAACAAGTATTTGCACAGGGTAGTAGCATGTCAGGGCTGGTTAATAGAGCACAGTAGGGTTGCTGTCGTCTTGAGACTCGCTTTGTGCTTTCTGAGTAGGATTGTGCTTTCAGCTGCAGCTACATTTTTGTCCATTTTCTCCACCCATCTTGTCTTTCATCGTTTATATACACTCAGGCAGGCCTGTGTATTCATGAACTTCGAGCCCAGCGCAGTGAGAGTCATCAGAAGCTGCAGCAGCACCTTGCAGAAGCGAGGTGACCCACCTCCCTGGCCGTGAATACCTGGGACAGGGGGTTGCAGCCTAACGGTTGCACTCGAAGTTCCTCCCTGTGCCCAGCTTTTCAGGTCTGTTTACTAGGGCAAGAAAACACCACTAGAAAACCCGTCCCTTCTGAAGGTGTGCTGAGCTGGGCCCTTCGCTGGCCAGCGAGCTCTCGTGTAGAACAAACCCCATTAAAAAAGCTGTAACCCGGTAGGTAATGAGCAGTAATTAACTTCAGTCAGAATGGTGAAAAGGTACCGAAACTGATGAGGAACGGGGACGATTCAGGAGGAGGTTGATGGTTTGCTTTGACTATTTTAGCGCTATTGTCAGCAAGACCAGCGTCGGTCTTGATAAGCTGTGATGTCAGAGAGTCGTGCGCATTGTCACGTGTGGAAGTGTAGGTGCAAACATGGGCTGCTTGTTGCACAAGATGTAAAAGCCATAGAGGGGGATAGGCAAAACATCGTCATTTTCTTAGGGTCTTGCCTTCCAGTTGCATGCTTTCTGTTTAAAGGAAGAGTTGCTATTGTTATGGCTTTTCATACTTTCTTAGATTCCCTCAGAAGTAAGAAACGATCTAATGTGGCCCATTTTGAAGCAGAACAGAGCAGGATTCCTCATGGAGGGGCTTGATACTAGTTTGTTGTTGGAGACTGGTATGGCTGGAGCAACAGATGTAGGTTCACTGGTGTGAAAGTTTTATGTTGTTAGGTTTTTTTCCTTTTTTGGGGGGATTTTGTACCTTGTTTGCCACTGTTTGAAGGAATTGAAGAATTTCATGGCAGTGTTGAGAAGCTCACAGAATGGTGGTGATCCAGAACAGACTCTGTAATTGGCCTTGAGGGGAGAGGCAAGATACATTACTTTAGTACAAGATACTGGCTTCAGCAAAAATTTGATGCTCAAGCAGCCTCAGTTTTCTCAGCTGTTACATATATACTGTGTGTCCCTGGAGCTCTTAAGCACACATGCAGTGTATATACTTTACACTGACTGTACTGTGAGCAATTTCCAGAAGAGTAGCATGGTGAGGTTAGCCAGGTATAAGGCCAAAGAATTTTTTGGATGGTGGAAATAAAAATGGCTTGTAACACCTTTGAAAAGTATATTTCGTGAAAAACTAAATTGTATGAAAATGATAAATTTGGTATTTTAAACTGGTCTGTTTGACAAAACCGAAGATGAAATACTGCTTTTTTCTGTGTAGTATCTGTTACATTGTCAAACTAGGGAAGATGAACTGTCTAATTATGGTTATTTATAGACTTTCCTGCAAAAGCAAACTACACAAAAGCAAGGTAAGATGCTCAGCTATTTGCAAGATAATTTTTTTTTTTTTTTTAGAAGGGGGAGGGAATATATTTATTTACAGTATATTTGAGATATAGTGAAATCTTCAAGTGCAGATGGAGACTTGATGAGATCCATGTTCTGTATCTGTTGGTAAATACTCTTCTTTTTCATCCTAGTTTCCACTGGCTCACTTGCTCAGCAGTATGCCCACCCTAATGCTACCCTGCATCCGCATCCTCCGCATCCTCAGCCTTCTGCCACACCAACTGGCCAGCAGCAAAGCCAACATGCTGGAAGCCACCCTGCTCCTAGCCCCGTGCAGGTAACAGAACTCAAGGGAGTGAATGTCTTTCAATTGTATTTAACATGCTCTGCTGGAAGGTGTTGCATCTGTCTGATGTTGACATTGACATACTGATTTCTTTGAGAGGAAAATGGTAGGGTGGAGCGGTTGCCCAAACGAACTGCAAGTGACAGATCTCGTGCAGGACTTGTCTAGATTCCCCTCTGTTTTCTGGAAGGAAGGAAGGAGAGCTATATAATTTAATTTTTCTCTCCTTGCGGTGGCTGGGGCTCAAAGGCGGTAGGCTCATGACATAGTTTGTTAGATACGCTAGCAGGGAAACTTGTGGCAGTCGCTTTTCTTTCGTAAGGACCAATATCAGAGTCCAACCGTTCATTTCTCCCTCTTCACAGGGGATGGGGTATAGCTTGTTTCCATGTCACGATTAAGAAAGGATCATCATTTTGTCAGACCTTTAACGTGAATGGAGTTACAACTGGAAATAGCAGATGAATGTTGAGAAGCATTTGATTGTATTTTGTCAAAGACAAGCAGCTGAAAACAAAACAGGCCTCGCGATAGCGCTGCGTGCCAGAGCTACCTACTGGTAATAACCTGGGGCTGCTGAGTGCAGCTGTGAAGTATATCCAGGTCCGTGGTTGCAGGTTCTCCTTACTTCTACCTGGCCGTCTAGGTTGTATTTTCCACACTCTGCTCACGTGACTTTCTAGTGCAAGGAGAAAATGAGCCTGGCGGAATTGAAATGCATTTCCTGGTGACCATGGGCATGGCGATCCTTGGATTTGCCACTTAAAAGATTCGCTGTTGAGAGCAGTTTTGCAGACCTTTCTTCCGTTAGTTTACAGAATAAACGTGTCTTGCTTCTAGGCCATAATCTAAACGATCTTCTGTCTCTTTTTTTTCTGCAGCATCATCAGCATCAGGCTGCTCAGGCACTCCACCTGGCAAACCCGCAACAGCAGTCGGCAATTTACCACGCAGGTCTAGCTCCAACCCCACCTTCCATGACGCCAGGCTCCAATACGCAGTCTCCACAAAATAGTTTTCCTACAGCACAACAAACAGTCTTCACCATTCATCCCTCCCATGTTCAACCTGCATATACCAATCCGCCACACATGGCCCATGTCCCCCAGGTAAACACAGTTTAACAACCTTCAAGACTAAATGTCTTAATGCCACAAAGTTAGGACAGTCGGGCCTGCTGAAGTGATTTCCATTCTGTCACCTCTCAGCGCAGACTACCTGTTGTGTTATTTAGGTTTCTGTCTGTACATTGCCTTTATTTAGAATTTTACAAGATATTTGGACCTCAGCTTCCAACACCCAGTGCATCTACAACTGTAGTTTAATGAAGACATCTTAAGCTGGCACTGCTACTGAAAGGAATTGAGCTCTCTTCCTGGTTCCCGGCTCCCATCCTTGTCCTGCCCCACCATTCTGCTCACAGAACTGTTTGGCCATGCAGCAAACCAGACTGGGGACATGATTCAGCTGAAGCGTGCCTCCCCTACCCCCGTTTTAGGCTATTTCGCAGTCAAATCAGTTCACTGCTCAGGTTCACTGCATGATCACAGAAAGAGCTGGCATACAGAAAGGTTGGAGGTGAGAGCTGAGTGGAGGAAGGCTGAATTGCTGCTTTTGGTGGCAGATTTAGGCTCTGCATTGTAGTCAAATTTGTACAAGTACATGCAGTAAAGGATATTACACAGGATTATTAGGGAGTAGCAAGGCACTGCAGTGGGAGATAGGTGAGATTGAGTTCAGATAACTGTAAGACAATCCTTGCTGAAAGAGAAAACCTGTGTGTGTGTGTGTGTGTGTGTGTGTCTGCGTGTGGTTCTAAATGAACTGCTTGTGCAGAAGATCCCCAATGATTGTTGGGCAACTTAACAGCAGCCCTTGCTTCAGGATCAGAAACCGACTTCTCTTAACTGCTCTCTTGTGGTCAACTCACTGAAAAACGGGTTTTGGGAAGGGAAGCACATGATTGATTAGTCAAGAGCTCTGCGTAAAGCAGTGTTAGAGATTTCCTGATGTTTACTAAATCTCATGGGTTTAGTGTGCTTTGTCAAGGAATGGACAGTTAATCAGTAATTTGCCCGCACAATTTCTTCTTCAGACCAAGTACTTTGTGTCTGGCTTCTGCCTTCTCGTACAGGTTAACAATAGTTTGGGATATCATGACTAACTGTGATTAGGAAGGTTAGTCTGATAGGTTTCCAGTCCCTTGCCAAATTCTGATAAAATCTTTGCTTTGGTCCCTGGGACAGTCAGTTAAGCCAATGAATTAATAGTTAGTTAGGAATTGTTCTACTGATGTTGAGTTTTTAGCTTTTTAATCCTGTTAGGCTTTTAATTTTTCTGCTTTTATACTGTGGGAGGATAAGGAGAGGATGTCCGAACTTGGCTACTGCCGTGGCATCTTGCCGTGTCCTCCCAGGCTCTGGTTTCAGAAACAAGATACTTGCTCTGCTCCGGGGTGGTGGCACTGGTGTGAGTGCCTAGGTTGTAGAGCTTCCCGGGGTGCCTCGACTGCAGCCTCCTGGGTTAGTGGCACGTTCAGTGCCGTGCCTTGAAACGTGGAACACGATTGTTTCGAGGTCTGCGTACAGGTAACACCACCCGAATTGTGCTGTACACGCCACGGCCAGGCCTGGGCCTGCGCTGCAGGGTGCAACCATTGCCTTCCTTTCTGTGTGCCAACACTTAATAAGCAAATCAGATGCAAGTTTTAGTCAGAACTTGACTGCTCGGTCAGGATTTTTTAGCAATCGCAGGCAAAGCCTGCCTTACCCGTGATTTTTGACTTGTGCAGTCTCTTCTGCTGTCATTTCTTTAGGATGAAAGCTACCATCTATAATCCATCATATTTATACCAAACTAACTGACTTTTCAAAAGGAAGTAGTTCCCTCAAAAATCTCTTAATGAAGGAATAACTTACAGTTCTGTAAGAATTTTTAAGTGCATGTAATTATTCCGTTGTGGGGAAACTAATCACTGGATTTAATAGTTTCTTAGCAGCCTCATTTCCAACTTCTGAAATACCACGTAGTAGGAATTTCAGTCAGGCTAACACAGGGGGTCAATCTGAATTTCCCTTTAGGTTATCAAATGAATCTGGAGTTGTTAGATATCTCACCTGAGAAACAGTACTTCAAAATTCATTACAGCACACTGTCAGCTGCCAATTGGCAAAGCGTTTGAGCCCCAGCAGAACATTTTTACCCAATGTGTGTATTGAATAGAGCTGCTGTAGGAATAGCCGCTTTATAGTGATGGCTGCTGTAATAGCATGTTTGTCGAAGTAAAAATGGTGCTGATCCTGAAAGGTATTTCTGTTTCACAGCCTTATCTTCTAAGCCTTTTTTTAGAGCAAGAGTGAGATTTGAATTGCAGTTCCTGCCTTTAAAGGCTTCTTGAGTGCTACTAATACAGTGCAAGTCTGATAAAGAGTTTGAGGAATGTCTGTGATGAGTCAAGTCACCCTTTTGTCTTTAAGAAATAAAATTGTGGCCACTACCTGCTATCTGTCTTTACTGGCATGTGAAACTTGTGAGGCTGCAGTATTGCACTGTAGCGTTCTGTTAATGGGATATGGTAGAAGGACAAAGCAAATCTTAGGTACAAATGCTTTTATTTTTCCCCCCAAGAGAAACTCACTGAAAGCTCTTAAGAGTTCCTTCATGTTTTGTGCTTTTAAGAAACTAGTGTTTACTAGCTTTTTAAACCAAAAGAATTGATGACCTCTAGAGTCATGAACTGCTCAGAGCTAAAGAAGCCAACTGACAAGTTACTGAACGTGTTTGCCAGAAGGTGATCAGCCATCGTAAAGATTAATCTCCTTTTTCCGCTGAGACTTAACTATGATTGCCGAGATTACACAAGGACCTTAACTGTGATGAGCTTAACTGGAAACAGAACAAAGCTGATCTAACAGTATAAAGGGATAAAATCACTCATCTTAGAGTGACTGCTTAGATGAACGATAATGTGGGCACAGGTCACTGGAGAGGGTGGTTTCTAGGGCAGGGAGCCATGAAAGAATGTGGGGTTGTGCAATGAGCCGCTGAGGAAGGGATGCCAGGCTCCCAGTGCCTGTGAAGTTCCTTATCTGTACCCGGTGCGTTCTCTGCATAGGAAGTGCTTTGATCTAGGTTACTAACAGTAATGTTTTGAAGATTTGTTGCTGAGGTTTTTTTGTTGTTGTGGGGTTTTTTGTTTGTTTTTTTGGGTTTTGGTTTTTTGGTTTTTGTTTTTTTTTTTCCCCAAATACCCACTGTTAAATGCTGGCAGTTTCTCCCAGCCCTCGCTGTCCAAATGGCTAAAATTGAGAATGTAACTCAGAGCAGAGCCGGCAGTAAGGATTTGAGCCCCCCCCCCGCCTTTTTTTTTTTCATTTGTTTTTAGTTATTCTTTTTGTGTTAAGATCTCTAACTTAATCCCTATAGCTAATCTAGTTAAAATGGAGCAAATCTCTGGATTTACTGGTACAGCTGGAGAAAACTTGCCAGTCATGTGGCCGGGAGTGATGCCTCCTTGTGACCATGATACTAAAGAGCTCTTTGTTTCAGGCTCATGTACAGTCAGGAATGGTTCCTTCTCACCCAACTGCCCATGCTCCAATGATGCTAATGACGACACAGCCACCTGGTGGTCCCCAAGCCGCCATCGCTCAAAGTGCACTACAGCCCATTCCAGTCTCGACAACAACACATTTCCCCTATATGACGCACCCTTCAGGTGAGGAGTGTGTGCCCGGGAGACCTGCACCGTAACTGAGCCAGGTCGTGGTAGTGAGGAGAACTGTTGTGAACCAGATGTGGGGAAAAGAACAACAACAACAAAAAAAAACCCCTCCATCCTTAAGATGTCCTTGTTAGAGCGGCAGGCTGCTGAAGGCAGGTTGTTGCTGCCTTTAGACGTTGCCAGCCTGAGCGCGAGCCGAGATAAGCGTGTGAGATTCAGCTAATTGAGCAAAGGCTTTGCTTCTCGCTAGCTGAAGGAGAGCAATGGATAACTGTGCAGACGCTGGCACTGCGGGACTGTGTTCTTCCAGGTTGTGCCGTGGGGGATGGACTGTCTGTGTAGCCTGTTTATAATGATCTGGGGGGTTATTAAATTTAAAGTGATCGGTCTGGAGGACAGGAGTGAAAATGTTGCTTGGGGGTAGGGCTGTTAGACTTCTAATGACTGCAGTAAAGTGACAACTGAAGTCTAATCTTTAATTCAGAGTAACATTCTGCAGCTTTACTTTTGGGAAAAGTAGGTGCTGGATGACTCCTTTCCGCTTAAATTTAACCTGACCTAGGTTTCTTTATTATTCGTTTCCAAACGGCCTCTAAACTTTGGTAGTGAACTAGTTACCTGATCTTGTATCCTGGGGAATGTGTGAGCAGAACAAGGCTGCTTTCTGAGGGTTTAGGTAGGGAAAAAAAAAAAAACATCCAAAGGACATCTTGATATTGCAGGGTTTTGTTTTGTTCTCGTGGAAAAAAAAAAAAAAAAAGAAAAAAAAAAAAAGAAAAGAGAAAAGAAAAGAAAAAGTTCAGCTCGGTAGTTGTCCTGTGACCACTTTACTAGCAAACTGTTGTGTGGCTTGCCAATTTATTATTTACATTTGAACTTTTTTTTTACAGTACAAGCCCACCACCAACAGCAGTTGTAAGGCTCATCTGGAATAACTGAAAGGCTGGATACCTTTTGTAGGCCAAATACCCTCCTTCTACTGCTTCTGCCAACTGGAAGCACAGAAAACTAGAATTTCATTTTATTTTGTTTAAAAAAAAAAAAAAAATTGATTTCTTGTAACATCCACTAGGAATGCTAACAGTTCATCTTGCAGTGGGAGAGATTCGGACTGAGTAGAGGCATTTAGGAACTTGTGGGCTATTCCATAATTCCATGCACTGTATCTGAGTCCTGCAAGTGCCCCAACTCTGCTTGCTGAAAACTGGAAGTTATTTATTTTTTAATGACCCTTCAAAGTTATGAACTCATCAGCTAGCAAAAGAAGTAACAAGAGTGATTCTTGCTGCTATTATCACTAAAAATCAAGACTTGGAGATCCCTTTTACTTCTAACTAAACTTGAAACAGGTTCAGTAAAAAAAAAAAATTCTAATCGTCAAACTGATGAATTATTATTTATAAATCACGTTTGATGAGATAATCACTATCGTGAGACAGTGATGTAACTTTTAAGTTAAGAAAACTTTTACTTTGTAGATAATATAAAATAAAAACTTAAAAAAAAATTAAAAAATAAAAAAAGTTTTAAAAACTGACCTACTTAGTGTTTGTGTCATGTTTTACCAGTACCTATCTTTAACCTGTTCTCCAGCTTTCAGTCCCCATCGGAGCAAGTGATTTATTGAGCCTCAGGTAAGCTCTGCGGGGTGTCTGTCGTGTGTGTCCCCCCCCGCCGTGAAACCCGATGGTCGTCTTTGACTCGTGAAAAGCTCTCGAGAGCAGAAATCCCAGCGGGTTTTCCACCATCTCTCGTGTTCCAATCGATTCCCTGGTGCCTCAGCCTCGCACTGGTTCCGCCTGCTGTCCCAGAAGATGTCACAACTGGGCCTTGAGGCTTAAGGTGACAAAGCTACACGTCAGTGGTGCTGCTGGAGGACGGGGAGAAAGCGGGGTAAGCGTTTGTAACCGTTCCTTGGCGAAACGACCGGGGGAAGGACAGGGAGAAGGACAGGAGAAAGCAGTCGGCTGCCACCTCCCTGGTTATAAAGCGCTGTGGTCTTCCTCACTGCTCCGTAGGGCGCAGGCTCACCAGGAGGTGATGCTGGTGAAACTGGGATCCCGATCTAGTTGCGCTTCAGCGGCAGCCGAGCGAAGCGCGGGGGCTTTGGTGGGCGGCCGCGAACGTCGCGTTGCGGCTCGGCAAAAACCCCGCAGGGGAACGCAAGCTGCGGCCGCTGGGTTAGTCCGTGCAGGTGAGCAGCGCGAGGAGACGGACTGGTGCGTGTTCAGGTGGGCAGCAGGGGGCACGAGACTGTCGCAGGCAGCGGTGGTGACCTGGGGCGCGACACCTGGAATGAGTCTTCGGAGAAGGAACAGCTTGCTCACGCAGGCTGTTGGCTTTTCAGTTCTAAGGGAGGGTTTCTGCCTTTTAGCATCCAGTCTCTGTTAAAATAGCAGCCAGGCACCTAGAGAGAATCAGGCTAAAGACTAAAAGTGAGAAACGAGTTCTAAAAACAGTTTATTAAGAGCAGATTTTTTTATATTATGGTAAAATTGCATTATTCAAGAATAAGTTACTTGTACAGTACATACAGAAACAATATATAGAAAAACCTACTATACAAGAAGAACTTTTCTGTGCAGGTGAAAAGTAGAATTTTCAGATCAATACGCTTTTCATCCAACAAACTGTTGGCTTTAATCATCCTGCTAAAGGCTGAGTTAGAGAATGCACAGTCGCCTCCCCACCTGTGGTAGTTGCTGGCGAAGGTTGGGTCTGTTCCCATCGAACAAGCTTAAATAAAAATTTGGAATACTCAAACCTGTTAGTCAAGATTTCGAGGCTTTGTTAGAGCATTGGTTGGATGACAGCAGTGTTCTGTGGTCTGGAGGCTGTAAGAAATGAGAAGCTTTGGCCTCACCCCGGACCCTTTTCTAGAAGCTTTGCTCCAAAATACTTTTGGTGCCAAAACTATGGGTGAGGCAATGGTGGTGTCAGTGTTTGGTAACCTGTTCTGGATCACTGGTGCTGCTCCTCAGGGCTGGGATGCAGGAGGGAGGGAGGGATGAAGAGATTAAATGATGCTTCATGTCATGAACCTGTCACCACCCATAAGGGCACCGATGGGGATGGTCTGTCAGCAAACAGCAAGTGGTTTCCGAAGTGTGAGATGGAGATGAGGGGAAGTTCTGGCCGGACCAAAGTATTAGGTTATGCACTCAGCCAGGTCCCTGCTGTCACAGAGAGCGAAGGCACTGCCTGTTTTGCATCTTTATTGCCAAAAACAACTGTCCTGAGTAGCTGGCTGAAATGGGGCTTCCCTCCCTGGCAACCCTCAGGGGTCATTGGGCAAAGGCTCCAGCTGAAGGCACCGAGAGTCGCTGCCGGGTGGGTCGTTGGATCCAAACTTGCGTTGCACATGCCCATCTTCAGGGCCAAGGCACGAGCTGCTGGTCACATCTGATGCTTACATCAGCTCGAGGAAACGCTCCTCCTCCGCGGGAGCCCAGGAGGCAGCCGTACCTGCAGCACACAGCCCGGCGGGGGATCTACCTTTGGCTTCCCCTCCTCCCAAAACTCAACGCTGGTACTTCATAAACGCAGCTAAAAGCCCACATGGGCTGGGGAACTAAACCTGCCAAGTCCTAGACTGTTTTCCCAAGTTACCAAAAGACTATAAAAATTCCTTCAAGTTCCTTATATTCCATAGAATGGAACGGCTTAATGGTCTTTGCCCGCCGCTGCGACAGAGAGGAGTACCTGATGGGCTGGATTAATGTCTGCTGGCAGGAGCAGAAGTAAGGCTGTGTGTCCGGCTCTGACCTGTGTCACAAGCCAGATGCTTTCTAGAAGAAAGGGGATTTCAAACTCAGCCCTTCAGGAGCTGGGGGAATAGCCCAAAAAAACACCCTTGGGTCCCAGCGCGGCTGGGATTGGGACCGCAGCAGGTCTGAGCTGCGGCAGAGCGGAGGACTAAGGCGGGGTGATGGTGGAGCTGGGTGGCTGGACAAAGCCCTTGGCTACCTTGTTGGTGAGGTCTGAGAGGGAAATAACTCTCTTGAATAACAAGAGCGACTTTCCCTCGGCTCACTAGTGGGGAGAACGGGAGTTTGTTTGCACAGGGGAAGTGGCTGACGGGGCGATAATGAACTCAACATATATTTTGCTAATCAAGCACAGCAATTTCCATTTAAACAATGGAGAAACCCCTCGCAATTAAACTGCAGGTTAAAAATACCACATGTGTGTGCATGTTTAGTTGTTGGCGCTCGAACAATAAGCCCCGGCGTGCCAAAACAACCCATCCCAGCAGCAGCATCTGATTTATCTGGCAAGGGCTGCGCCGGCTGTGAAGAGCAATCCCTTTTCCCAGCCCGTTCTTTCTTGCAGATGCTTTGAGCGTAGGGTGATTCGGGTGAGCCCACCTCGGCTGGAGCTCAGCAGGACTAAAATCAGCTCTTTGAACCTTAGCAAGATTTAGGTGTGCGTGCTCCGGGAACCGTGCCCCAAGCAGGCAAAGGAGCCGGCAGCTCGCGCTGTGCTTCCTCCCCTTCCCCTCTTCATCCCTAGAAATGCAAGACCAGGGCGAGTCACTTCTTAGCAATGAAGGGAGCTGACTTCCCTGGCACAAACCAGCCCTGGCTCTACGCTCCTGCCGGTCGGTGCAGCCTTTCTGCTGGTCCGGGGAGGAGAACGGGGTGCGGATACGGCCGAGGACAGGGCTGCCTTTGTGTCTCCGGCAGCCTCGCCGCCTTTGGCAGCGCTGGAGGTAACAACCAGCCAGTGCAATTTGCTCTGAACGCTCTGGTTTCAGGAGCGAGTGTGTGACGGTGTGTGCTGAGCGCCGGGAAACGCCGATCCCCGCCCAAATACACGATTGCTTCCCGTGCGCCCGTTTTCAAGTCGTTTTAAACAGAGGAAAGGGGGGGAGACCTTGCCTGCTCTGAATGAACAAAGACAGCCCGGGAGAGGGCTGGGGCAAGAGATGGGGAGGCACAAAATGCACGTCCTAAGTGGTTTCTCAGGTCGATGGTATCCAGTTTCTCCCAACCCTCATCCTTCAGCTTATAAAACCAGATTTGCAGTCCCTGGCCTGCGTTTGGCCCTGGCTATTTTGGCCCTGCCCAGTCCTGGCCCCTGCTTGTGCTACCTCAGCCCTTTCTGGACCAGCCCAGCACCATGATCTCGCCCTTCAGTTCCTGACCTCGAGCAGAGCTTGGCTCCTCGTGTTTTGACTGCCAACCCAGCTCACTGCGCGCTAACGGCAAAGCCCTGCCTAGAGGCTGGATTTTTGCAAAACTCTCTAACTCAGCCCCACGAGGCTTTTTGCTTGCTTGCTTTCAAAGGAATTCCTAAACGTTAATACTCCTGAGGGCACCCACCTCTACGGCAATTTCAAGGCAAATAAAAATACGAGGCTGTGCTGTACAGCAATCTCAAGGCACGTTTTGCATCCGAAATCCCGGGGAGCGCCGCGTGGGCTTGCGCTGAGAAATCTGGAAGTTGAATGCTGCGAACATCCCCTCCTGTGTGTCGCAACAGCTCCAGCCCCTTCCTTATTCTTAAAATAACGGCAGCTTCTAAGAAGTGGTTCCTCTTTCTTGGCACGGCCGCGCCGGCTACCCCAGGTAAAGCAGCACCGGGGCTCGGCGGCACCGATGGCTGCAGAGCCTGGCAACAGCAGCAGAAGTTGGGGCACGGCCGTGCTCCGGGCTCTGGAGCTGCTCTCCTTAAGCGGGCGCCTTCGTTGGGGATGGGTGGGGGGGACACAAGTCAAGCCCCTGGGGATTTGGTGGATTCACAGTTGTTCCCGCGGGAGTTACGGTAGTGCCTACGTCTTGCTCGGCGTGCAACTCACCGCGCGAGCAACCGGCGCTTGGGCGAGACACAGGTGGGCCAATAGGTCAAAGCGCCTGTTGGGTCCCTCCAGCCATCGAGATGCCGACCCACCAGCCTCCTCCACCTAAGGCACATCGGGGGGTGCAGCCCCTCTGCAGGCTCGGAGCGGGGCTGGCTGGGCGAGGCTTCTCCTCCAGGCGGGGAGGGGTACACCAAAGGAACCCCCTGTCACCTGCAAGAGGCTGTTGTGTAGCTTTAAATACCGCCAAACTCTTGGTTACACTGTGTTTTGGGGGGAAAAAGAAGGCAAGAGAGAGCGGGGTGGGCAGCCGCCTGCACTTGGGAGGGAAAAAAAAAATGGTTTGGGTAAAAACTTTGTGCCTAAAATGCTTCCATCACTGGGATAAAACGCCTCCATCACCGGGATACACCACCTCCATGGCCGGGAGGAGCGGCTTGCTGTCAGTCTCCGCGTTAGTTCTCAGCTAGTGACATTATTAACGATGGAGCAGTTAGTGTTCGTGTCTTAATTAGCAAGGCTGATGGTGTAAGTATTTCTCTGGCTGCTGCAGGGAGTGACTGCAACTGTGCTAGGTTAAAAAAGAAGAGCAAGAAAAGCCAGTTTTTGCCTTAGCTGAAAATAAAGCCCAAACTCTGATCGTGATCATCATCTTCGCCCAACGTGGGAGCTCAGCTCCGGCAGGTCGGGCTTTGCTGGTGGGTTTGGCAGCGGCAGCACGTGCTGGGGTGGGAGGA